TATCTAAACCTAAATTTTATTCGTTACAGTTTAACAAGTTACTGTATTATTAATTAACTATATTATTATTATTTATACAAAAATAATATTTCTTGACTACTAAAATATCAGAGTTTAATGTTATTTACTAATAAAATTGATCGCATATAGTAAAACTTTTATTTTTGTATTTATAAAATAATGATTTTTATATGTATATTGCATAAGACTGAAAAAATGGCATTTTTTTATTAAATAGTTGTATAATTATATTTTATATCAAATATTTTGTGAATTTGTATCTTATATATACGTAGCTAATGTTGATAATTTAATTTTTATTTTTAAGTGTAAAATATATAATCTTAAAGTCCAGTATTTAAAAACATATAGAAAGAGAAATTTTATTAAATTTAGATTATTGATGATATTACAAATTGTAATATAAAATCGGTATTTCTATAAGTTCTATAAACAAATATTTTCATAAATAAATAACTTACAGATGTAAAATTTAATTATTTAAGATTAAAATTAAGTAAACCATTTGATATATAAATTTATATTTAAATTTTTAATACAAGAAAAGTTATATAATGAAATAAATTACCAAAATTGATTTGAGATTATGATACTAAAACATGTTTCTCAAAGATACTTCCAAACTGAATTAGACAGTATATTAATAATACAATTTTAACAAAATTTGATATAATACAGGAATTTATAATCATAAGGAAAATCGAAAGAGAATTGCTTCCCTCTTTTGAGGAATTGTGTCAACATTGGTTGAACACGAATGTACACACGTGCACACTCACATATATAAATATAGCCGTACATAAATTTCGTTAAACGCCATATTTAATCATCAAGTGCAAAAGAACCCCCCAAGGAGTCTACCTTGTCGCGTAAATGGCGCCTGTATTATGTGTTTATGTGCACTTTTTGTAACACAGCTGGTGCGTTTCACTTTAATAGTACACACTTATGTACGCTCACATACATTTATATAAAAACTTTTTGACTCGATCTTTATTTCAACTTTCGTAATCTTTTTTTTTATTAGCTTTATAAGATCTCCCTTCGTTCTTCCCTTTTATATATTTTACAACTTAGTCGATAATTATACGATAATTACTGCGTATGCTAACTTTTCGCCCTTATCTACCTTACGCGCTGTGTTAGTGTGAAAGAAAGTTTATGTATATATATATATATATATATATATATATATATATAAACAGAAAGAACGCGTGGTGGTAGTGTAAAGGGGGGAAAGCGTACAGCGCCCTCCGCGATCGAACGATTATTGTGTGGGAACGCATGTTCCACAAGCCTACGAGCAGTGTACTAGAGGAAGTTGGACGTACATCGATGAGCGCGAGAAATACGGGATTGTTAACTCGATGTCGTGCTTGTTTATGTAACGTGAGCGCGTGCGCGTAAGAGGAAGAACACATTTTTTAAGAGCGAAAACGCTGCCACCGGTATCTTGTCCGTATGTTTTGTTTTATAGTTCGCGACACGAGTACATTATAATTTTTTTATCGCACATGCAATTTTGTGTACGTGTAGTTTGGTTTACGAGTTATGTTCAAGAATTATATTAAAATCATATTAGTCTCAAGACTTTTTCAGGACACTACTACATTTTACCGCATTTCGTGAATCATCTTAAATACACGAGTGAAAAGTATTAAGATAATACAAGCTCCGAGATCCAGTATTGTTAAATACACTACTCAAGTATTAAAACAATTTATATTTTAATAATAAAACCATTATTATTATTGTTATTATTATTATTATTATTATTATTATTATTATTATTATATTACCATATATTATTGTTCATGTGTTTTTTAATTTTTAGTATTTGTTCATACAATATTAGTTTTTCGTAATATAGGCTTATTGGTTTATAATTTATTATAATTATTTATTGCCAATATTTATAGTAGTTTATTAATGTGTTATAAATATTTTTTCATTAAGATGTAGTGAAATACAAATTATAATTGATAAGGTTGAGCGAGTGTCAGTTTATATTTCACTATTGGTACCTGGGTGGTAACGTATGTATACAAACAGATATTTAAGCATAAAGATGCACAAACCTTTTTACTTTTTAAGTGGATAGCAAGCGCATTATATTAATTTTATAACATTAATTAATTATGAGCTTTTTGCATACATATATTTTTATAAAATATTTTTTGTTAAGAGAAATAAATTAATTAAAATTTAAATCACGTATTTTTTTTTTAATTAATTTTGTGTGGATTTTTAAGTACCTATATACCTATTGATTTAGCACGTTTATTTCATTGACGTCAGATTGTTAATATAATTCTTTATATTATTTTTCTTTACATTTATAATATATTTTATGTATATCTATTTCTATATTTATTTCTATTTATGTTTATATTTATTTATTAATTATTTATATTTATTATATATTTTATAGATAAAAGCATTTCAATAATTTTATTTTATTGAAATAGTTTAGACGATTTTACTTGGAATAATTCGATTTAATACTAAACAAAATTAATTTTTAATGCTACAACATTAAAGAGAATAAGGCTAAAGATAAATCTACCGATTATTATACTATATATAATAAAGTGTTACTTTTTATGAATCTATTGCAGACTTGATAAATTTATTTCGTTATTTTTAATTGACTGATCTTATCATTAAATTTCATAGTATAGATTATTAAATGACTAATTAATTATGTTACAATTATTGTAATCGGTTTTTTTGGACTTATCCGGTAATCTGAAGAATTTATTTTTATGTATTAATATATCTATCTTTACTATCAAGAAACTTTTAAAAAATTGTTATGTTAAAAGAACTCGAACAAATAATTTATATAATTAAAAATACATGTGTATAAAATTACTTCATGTAGTATTCTTTTAAAAGAAACGAAATACTTCTTTTGTGGTATATATTTTCAATATATTAAAAACACTTATGTTTTACTATCAACTAAAGTATAACACACTGTCCTTACACTGTTTATATAACGCTAATAGAATAATTATAATAAATTAAAGTACCGAACAAATCTTATAAAGTCAAGCTTAATAGTTTAGAAGTCAAAAGTTATGTTAGTGTAATTATGAAGTATAAAAAAGATAGATCTTTTCAAAATAGTTCATATACTTGTATTTTAAAAAAGTTTATTTATTCTGTACTTTTCTTAAATTAAAAAAGTTTTTTATTTGGTGTGGAATTTTCATTGCATATTACGACTTTAATAACATTTTGAATATCAGGTAAAACTCTAATTTCTTGTACTTTAATTTCATATTAATTAATTAATTAACATTTTAAGAAGAAATAATTATGCTATTTATATTTTTATTTTATTTTTATTTATTTATACTGAAATTGTAAATACCTTGTCGAATATATAGATAGATATACAAACATTTCTTTCGGTCTTTTATATATGAAAAGTAATCACTATCTGTAGACTTGCTTAACTGGTTGTGTATTACATTATATTTTAGAAATATACCGTTATTACTACACATTGTCAATAAAATTATTTAGATTCTATTTAATTATTATATAATAAAAATGTACATAAATCAATAATTATATTCGGTTATTAAAGATGTTATATATATATATATATATTTCAAAAATATCTAATGACAGTTAGTGTTAGTTCACAATTAACTTTATAAAAAATATTCAATTTTATTAAATTGTATATATAAATAAAAATTATTTACGTGGGTTATGAACAAATTACTTGCATAATATGAAATTAATTTTGATATATAGTAACAATTATAATAATTTATTAGATTCTTAACAATAAAAATATTATTCATATTCAATAATGTATAGATGCATAAAACTAGAATTCTAAATTCTAGGAATTATATGTTTGTTGAATTAAATGATTATGAATAACTGAACGTATTGAAGTTATTTTGAAATTACACACTTTAAACTTGTAGTTTAAAATTATGTGTAATGCTAAGTTTTTAGAATTGATAAAAAAAATTTATATGATTATTTACTAAAATGTTAAAAGCTGAAGCATGAATGTGAATTTGAAAATTAAAACATAAGTTTATGAATGAATATGAATACAGTCATTTGAAATGTCAAAATAAAATATTAAAATGTGTTTTTCTATTTATTTATTAAACAAAATTTATTCGAAATTCATTTAATGAATTTAACATTATTATTGCTATTGTCATATTAAGTATTGCTTCCATTTTTTTTTTAAATATATCTGGACGGATTATTAACTGTAAGAACTTATAAATAATTATTACCATGTTCATGATGTCGACATATATCAGATTTAACAAAAAAGAAGATATCAAGAGAAAATATTTTTTGTATCAATATCTCTTTTCATTTAGTAATACTTCGAACGATGGTGAAAAATAAACAATAGGGGCGTGGCTATAAAATGTGAAATCACATATTTCTTTTTATGTACTAAATGATTAAAATCAAATTATAATAAATCTCGAAATATTCTTCGCATTTATAATACTCAGTACTATATTAAAATACATACTCTTATGGATAATATAATCGAAAATATAATAAAGAGTTTTTTATTATAATTATATAAATGAAAATATAAAGTTAAAATTCAAAATATATTTAATTGTTAAATATAATTGCAATCATAGGAATAGATTCGTGTGATTGAATTTATCATTGAAACAAGATAAAAGGAACGTAATACAGCTATATTTTTTACTGCTAGGCTTATATTTTCTGTATTTTGCAGATATTCATCATGTATTTAAATCGTATAGCCATTAAACAAACGCAATAGAAATCTCAGGAAAAAATTTAATAATGTTTCTAATGAATTGTTAAATTGATTTTATATTAAATAATATTTTATAATTTATAATATTAGTTAATGTGTGTATATATATATATATATATATATATATATATATATATATATATATATGCATGTGTGTAGAATACTAATAATTTATTTGAATATACAGGTAGATTGTCTGTCAAACTTAAGGAAATATGTCTCTACGTTAACAGCAGACATGCGGTTGACGTATAACAAAAAGTTCCAAGGATGAGTTCCTAAAAATGTACAATGAACTACAGTCGAAATATGCCAGACTGGCAGCAATATAGTACATTGCAGTCTGGCGAGAGTGATAGGCAATCAGTGAATAATGCTTCTGCCGTTCAACAGCAACAACAGCAGCAGCAAAATGTGCAATCGAGCGCCAGCAACGGTACCAGCGGCAATGGCCATCTATTTAGTCTGGATTGTGTAAACAAGTCTCAGAATGAGACAGGTGGTTTCTATGGCCGGACGACAGCTAGCAACTCCCAGCAATCGACGAATTCAACACTGGGCCAGAGTCATGCTCCACCACCACAACCACAGTCCACAATGGTTCATCACTTGTCCAGCTGTGTAGGGCACAACTATGGTACAGGAATAAATGTCATGGAAGATGGGAGATTGGCTTCTGTTATGGGTGAAGACATGCAACAACAGCAGCAGCAGCAACAACAACAGCAGCAGTCTCCGCAACAACAGCAACAACGCCACAACCACCACCACCACCAACAAAGAAACGTACAAATGTCACTAAATAGTTCAACGTCGAGGATGTCTTCTGCAGGTATTAATGTAAACAATGGTATAGGTGGTTTGGGTCCAATAATGCCTGGTCCCCCACCTCCACCAACAAGTGCCATAAGTGGTACTAGGCAAACAACGTATACCTCTTGCAAAGGCGCTTGCTGCCAAACTACTAATATTGGCTACAGGTACGTGTTTCCTTTATTTTTTCCTGCTGTATTGTAGACGTGCAACTACGTATTTTTATTTAGCTACGCGATTGATATGCAAAGAAACCTGACGAATAAATTTAAGATTCGTTGTTTGGTAATTCCCAAACTTTTCTTTACCATATTTAAATCGTAATGTAAACTTACAATTTTTTAGTTAAATTATTGAACCTTTTAAATTGATTGTAGTATGGTATTGTGTAAATATAGTACTTAATGATTTTATATTATAGTCAATTTAATAACGAATCCATCAATAATAATAATTTTTCTTATAACCCAACAAATTTTTATAAATTTGATTAAATATTTAGTTTCATAATCTATTTCTTACCTCTTGTAAATATATAATTTATTATCTATTTTACTTTATAAAATAATATTTTGTTATTTTATACATAAATATTGTATAAATGCTTTATAAATGATATATAGTACTAGAGAATATATTTTAGATAAAATTATTTTAATGTTTTTTTAAATTCATCTATTAATGATATTTCATTATAATACGAATCTCATATATAAATTACAAATAATATTAAAAATAGTTGTTAATTTTAATTCTAATTTATAATATAAATTATTAATTTCGAAAAAAATTTCGTTGTACTTCTTATCAATACATACGGTTTGAGTAGCTTAGTATACTTTAAAGTTTCTTAATTTTGACAATACTTTTGTTTGTTCATAAATGAATTTTATATTTTATTTTAAAATAATTTGAATATGTAGACTAAAAATTAAAAAAATTAAAAAGAAGTTTTTAAAATATAAATAAGTATTAAAACTTAATATAAGTTTTTAATTTTTTAATTTTTCACTATTATTTTTTATTTTTTAAAATAAAAAATAATTTTTTAAAAAATTTTTATTTTTCCAAAAATGTCATATTTAAGTGATTGTGCTTAACAAAAATATTCATTAAAATTATATCATCTTTTAAAGTGCATTATATTTATTTCAAATAATAATTTTAAAAAAATTTTTAATTATAAATACTTTTTTTCTATTTTAAAGCCATTATTTTCAAAAATAATTAATGTTAAAATTATTCAACGTATATTATTAAAAGTATATATTATATTTATATATATTAAAAGTTAGCTATATATATTAAAAATTTTTGTTTTAAATATGTTAAAAATAAAATAAAAAATAGGATTGATTATAGATCTCTTGATTATAGAGTTTAAAATTGTCTGGTCGGGATTCATGAGATGATCAGATTATATTGTTTTAAAAATTGCATTAAAAAAAAGACTAACTAAAATTAATATAGGTAAAGAGTTTAATTACCATATAAAATTCATCTAGTTCATTTTTATTTTTGATAGAGATGGAGAAATATTGTAGCTGATAGTGTTCACTATTCATAATTTTATACGTAAGCACAAAAGTCTTTTACTATACTTGATGCAATACATTAAGCAGTAAACAATCGATCGAAAATTTTGTAATTTATGACTTGTATAAGTATAATAATGATAAATATGCCAATAAATTTAAAGAAATTAATATATTTTGTTATTATGCTTGTGTATGTTTGCAAATATAATTTGAATCAATTTTTGATTACTACACTTATGTATAGAGACAAACGTAGGCATTTTAATATATGCCACTCCTACTTCAACCATACTCTCTCTCTCTCTCTCTCTCTCTCTTCCTCCCCCTCTCTCTTCACCCCTCTCTTTCTCACTCTTCCTCTTTCTTTTTCTCCCTCTTTCTGTCTCTCCCTCCCCCCTCTCTTTCGGACTTATATAGATATATAGATAATTTATTATGATCGTGCATTTAGCGCAACAATGGCTCAATAATAACATTCATATTTTATTTTTCACTGGATAATAAGAAACCGAAACTTTTTTTATTTTTATTTTAATTATTAGTATAAATATTATTTGAATATTAAAATTCTTTTCAAATCTTAAGATTAATAATTGAATGCATAATATTAAATATAAAAATGTTTACCAAGTAAATTGTGCGTTATAATAAGAAAATAAAGATTTATGCTTAGTTCGATATATAATTAACTATATGGTAAATAATCTATTGTATTATTAATGTCTATAAGTATTGATTTTAATACGATTCTTTCTTAAGAATATTTTTGAAAATTGATTTCATCTAATACTGGTATTTAAAAAAGTAAGGTTTACTTAAGTATTCTATATATATATATATATATATTTCATAACTATATTTATACTATATTGATAACTATATTTCATAAATTATATTTTTTAATAGTATGTCTGTATTTAACTGTTGTTTTAACAGTATGTCTGTAACTATGAAATATATTGTTCTCTTGAAAATATTTTTTAAGTTGCTTAAATTGCTTGCATGTTATACAATATGTCTTTGAGTTATAATGCTTACAAGTGCTTTATAATTTTGTTTATATGAGTATGTTATGATCAAAGCATTATTATTATAAATTTCACGATATGTTTATGGAATTTTAAATTAAATTTTATTATTAATTAAATTAATTAATTTAAATTTTAAAAGTTGATTTTGTTTAACGATTTATTGGTTTAAAATAAAATAACGTAAAATATTTTTCATAATCCTTAAAATGAATAAATTCATTAAAATACTTTATAATTTATATTATATTTCTACTTTATATAAACAAATCGAACAAACAATGCAAATTGTTGATGTGTCGGAATTAAAGAATTAGTTCAATATAAGGATATTAAATAATTTAATAATTTGAAATAAATATTGATGAAAATTAATGGTCCATATACTTACTTTATTATTGTTGTTTTATTACCTCGTATTCAATTCATCATTATTATATTATCAAGTACTTCTTAAATATCCATTAATTATCAGACTCATATCATTGAACACCTTAATAATAAGCCTTAATACTATTGCATAATTTACAAAGCTAGCATTTATAATATTTAATAATCCAATCTTATACTTTATAAGTGTAAAATAAAAGAAATTATATTGGCTATTGGCAAAAACTAACTTATAGGTTAATATTAAATCAGCATTTATTAAAAACTATTTATTTGTTTTTAATTTGTAAATTTAATTTTATTTATTTGCTCCGTTCAATTTTTTTATACCCAAGTTGGCGCCATTTGAATTAAATATTTTATACATAAACTATATTAAAAAATTCAAAAATTTCAAGAAATTCAAAACTAAATCAATAATTCAAATTTATGAGATTAATCATTCATAAATAAAATAAAAAGCATGATTGAGAGATTGGGTATAGCTCTGCATTGAAATATCATTTTAAGTACATATTTATGAAAATAATTATATTACCTTTTTTATTTTTATATTTTTTCATTCTGGACATCAATACCTCAATATAGTATTAATTAGTCCTTGAAATGAAATGCCAGATCAGTTAAATTATTATATTAAATTACTAATTAAATTATTCATATTCGAAAGAGGAGTGTATTGAATAATTAATTACAAATTTTATTTAGAATAACCAAATAATTTAATCTGACATTTTATAGCACATTGTCTTGTACAATGACAAACATGTCTTGTATAATTACAAATCAGTTTATCTATTACTAAAATATATAACAAATTAAATATCTATTTATAAAACCTTTAACATATCAAATATCCATATATAAAATATTTGTACTTTTAAAACAAGATTGTTCAAAATTATTTTGAGAATAAAACTAACACATAAGGTTCAAGGTAATTTAATTTTTATTAGTCTGATATTTTCTCATAAAATTTTTTATTTTATTTTATTTTATTTTATTTAGATTTAATCATTTATTTTAATATATTAATAATATTTAATTATAAATGTGCAATAATTTAATATAATTATTTTTTATATAATAAATCTAATGAAATTAGTACAGTAATTGTTCGATGAAAAATTTGATAAAAATTTATGTCACACAAGAAAGAAAAAAATTATAGTTTTTAATTATTCATATTCTACATATAATTTTATATTTTATATTATTTTATATTTATATTTTAGAAAAAAGTTTTTATTTAATAATACAATTTATAAGATTTATTTATAAATATTAAGTTTTGTTTTATATTTTAATGTCAATTTTTTACACATTATCTATGTTACATAGATCTTAAAATATGTAAAATAATTTTAAGCTATTTGTTCTACTTTTTGTATTGTAAAATAAATTACATATTCGATACCCACACTTATAACACTCCATCAATTTGTCATTTTTATATTAAATTTATTATTTCAATCATATACTGGCTTTTTACTATTGTAATAAATAAAATTATAATATGTCCTATGCGCATAATTAATTTAGAGTTATATTTGTAGTAGAATATCTTAAACATTTTTGGTAATTTATAATTTCAGTTAAAATAAATAAGGATATTTAGTTTAAAAAGTTCATCTACTTATTTTCGGTACAATGTAAAACAAAGCAATAAATCTTTTATTTAGATAAGAAATTTTTTGTAAAAAATTTCTCTAAATTTGCTTTTTCATATGTTTTAGTGAAACTATTTTTAATAAATTTTTATTTCTCATTTATAGAAATATTGTAAATAAATAATTGAAATATAATATATATACACCATTGACAGATTAAGATATTCTTATGGTAATAAATGAAATAAAAAAAATATATGAACTATCAATATTCCAATATTATATATTTACAGTAACGAATTACTTTGCACTTGTATGGTTATTAAATTATAACTAAGATATAAGAATATATAACAACAAAATTATAACATTAACATGATACTCGTTTTTCTTTATTACTATTACCAATATTAATAATGAGTCATGTTTGTCTATAAATATATTTTTCTTATAAACTATTTGATATAGAAATAAGTTTGACTTAATTTAGATAAAAATCTGAAAAGTTATAATTTAGAAGAGTAAATGAGAAAATAATTACTTTTCTTAAAGCAACCATATTTAATATTTTAGAAAAATTTTTGTATAAACAATTTATTCGAAGTTAATTGATATTATTTTAATTTGCATTTACATAATTAAAAAAATTCTATTATATAAGATCAGTTAAATCTTAATGTTACAAGTAATTCAAATAATGTAAGAAGATTATAAATATAAATATGAATTCATAATAATTGATGTGA